TAAAAGTTGACTATATTTTTTAGAAATAGGAGGATTAAATTAACCTCTAAAGAGTTTTTAGAATAAATATATTTGAATAATAATATTTTCATCTTATGTTTCTTTTTTTTCAGGAAGATATTCCTGAGAATGCCTCAAGTGATGTTTCTAAAATTATAATTTTAGGATTTAAAATATAGGTTTGTTTTAAATTGCAAGTAACTACGATCTTTTTAAATCTGAAAAAAAAAACTTCCTTAGACCATAGTATTTCACAATTATTCTACCTAAATTACAGGTAGTGAAATATAGGTAAGATAGCTATGTAGTTAATATATATCTCAATATATACCCCTATTCACGTGTGGTGAGCTTCTCTCCCTCTCTCTTTCTCTCTCTCCCCCTCTCTCTCTGGCATGTGCACACACAAACATACATTTCAGTAATATATATGTGTGTGTGTGTGTGTGTGTGTAATTTAATATTTATTGAGCTCAGGATCAGCATGGTTATAAATATGTGGAGAAAGCAATGATAATACATCTATTCCCATTTTTGAAACGTTTTATTCCAAGGTGAAACAAATCAAGAGCTGTTTCTGTAGTCTGCACAAATCATGTTAGCATGATCAAAGAATATACCATTCGTTGCAGAGGTGTTGTGGGTATGTGGAGGCAAAATTAGGGGAAGAGCATTATAATTCAATGTATAGAGTTGAGCCACAACAAACAGGTCTTCTAAGAGAATTGTTGTGTCTGAAAAGCTTTGAGATGGTCTAAAGCAATAGCCACTCTTTGGTGGCTGTGGTCTAATAAGTGAGCTCTTATATTAGGAAATATTAAACTAAATATAAAAGTGTCATGAAGGAACTGAACAGCATACTAAACATGAGGGTATTTCAAAAAGTTCGTGGAAAATAGAATTTAAAGATAATACAAATCTTCCCATGAGCTTTTTGAAGTACTCTTGTATACTAGTCCACAGCAGAGGTAGTTGTCGATTTTGAAGTTGCCTTACAAAGTCTGTTGTGTCTGTCAATTGAGGAATAAACAAAGATGTGTTATATCTATACAGTGGAGTATTACTGAGCCATAAAAGTAAATGAAGTACAGATACTTGCTACAACATGGGGGTCGGAAACGGACATGACTGCTAATGACTACAAGCTTTCTTTTGGGTTCTAAAATTACATTATGGTGCTGGTTGCACAACTCCATTAATAATCTAAAAACCGTAGAATTGTAGTTAAAATGGGTACACTTTACTGGTATATAAATTATATATCAATAAATCTGTTATAGTCTACCAGAAAAATATTCTTTTTGGGGGCCATTTTTTTAGAGGGTTGATGTTTTCCAGTTGCATCTATCAAGTCTTGATTTGTGAGTGTTTTTTCAACTGAAGCATATTATCTATTGAATACTTTTTTATAATTATGAAGAATCATTTTTAGTTGAAATCTGTAACTTCTAGAAGGAATTTGGGTATTTTTGTAGATCACAAGTTTTTATAAGGTCAGAATTAAGTCCATACATTGACTTGAAGAACTGAGGGGTGAGGGTGGGTGAAAAACTACAAAACCTAGATATTCTGAAATAGATCGTGTGCTCTAGTCGTTCTTGCAGATTCCTATAATGTTTTTGTGTCTTGTTAAAGAATGCTCATCTTGTTTTTATTACCAGCATTAAAATTAACTGAAAACTCCTCAGTCATCTGCTCAAATGGTGTGGAATCCTAACACAACCTCTCTTTCCTTCTGATTATTAAATGCAGCAAACTCTTACCTTACTAACATTCACCCCAGTCATGTCACACTCAATATATCCGTGTCTTTTATCTTCCCATGCTGATCTCTTCTTTGGAAATAACTTCCCATTTCTTCTTACCAAGCCATCCTCATCACTTTCCCTAAGAGCCTGTTCAATTCCCTTCCTTTAAAAAGCATCTTCTGATTTGTATTCTCCCTTACTCCTGTTATATCCCATTATTTTGTTTGCAAATGTGTGTCCTCATTAGTTTGTATTTGCTCTTTATTCACATATGCATGCCTGGTCTTCCTTACTATATTGCAGTCATTTTGGTGAGAAAATAGGATCACATTTTTAATGTCTCAATGAGTATAATTCTTAACACAAAGGCATGGAATTGGGTGTTCAGGAAATGATTATTTCCTGATTAGCATTCATGCTTTATTGACCAAATTGTGAAACTTGCATATATCCCTGAACCCAGTATTGAAGGAATTAAAGGATTTTAAAATTAGTTGAGACTGAGACTATAGTTAGGCTGAATAAAGGCTTTCAAAAACTGTTTTCCATTTAAAATACATGATATCTACACTAACACACCAATCTAAATTTGATATTTCCTTTATCTTACTGATCTTATTAAAGATATTTAGCTCATTAAAAGAATGTCTTTAAATATCTTAGGGAACCAAAAAACAACAACAAAAAAAAGTGCATCATTTTCTTAATTTGCCAGAGAAGATGACATTTTCATGTAATATTCTCTAAGGAAGACATCTAGTACCTGTTAAATAAGTAATATTCTTGAATGCCAATAAGTATTATACTAATTTTATAATCATTTATGGATGTTCTAATTTATGATTTATTGACCACAGCCAAGCACTGCATTAGGTACTGGGGATACAATGATGAATTATTCAGTATCTGTTCTTAGGGAACTTTCAGCTCTCGTGGGATGTGTCATCAAGTAAGCTAGCAATTGTAAGCCAGGGTGGTATCAGTTAAGTATAATATCCTACCAGAGTACAAGAAAGGAAGCCTATTGCAGTATTGGGATATTTCCAACAACAAGTTTTTGAAAAGAGAATGTTTAAACTCTTCTGCAAAGGATGAGTAGGAGGATTAGCTGAGTGAAGGACATGTGAGTATTCCAGGCAGACATAAATGCATGTGCAAGGCTTGGCAGGAAAAAAAAAATTATGGATATTAGGTTTTTTATGCATAGATATTCCAGGAGTCTATACATAAACTTAAGGAACTCCATAGTGAAGTCTTTTTTGACTGTTATCTCCCATCCCCAACACTCCAACCAATAAAGTGTATTTTCTCCTTTACTATTTTGGGACTTTGTAGACTTTCTTACTGATATTTCATTAGTTCCATAGTGTAATGATCACTTACCTGCTTGCTTTCTCTTCTGCATCTGTACTTTTTGAGAGTAGACACTATGTTATTTTTCTCTTTTTATTTCTAAGAGCTAGCAGTATGTTCGGCATACACTTCTCTTAATAAGTAATTCTTGAAGTGAGCTGAAGTGAGCTCATGGAGGTGCAGAAAGTTATCATGTGCCAGTGCCTTTGTTTGCTAAGACTGGGTGAGGCACTTCACACCTCTACATAGAATAATCAGATCATTCGATCCTCACAGGAATCATGACACAGCATGCTTTGTATTCTTTCTAGAGTTAGAGAAAATAAAACATGATTCAAAAATCTTAGTAACTCTACTAACATCACATGGTCATATAGATTTAATGGGGTGGGACCAAGGATTTCTATCCAACTTGTCTGTGTCTTGTTAAAGAATGCCCCAGCATACCACCCTCCAGGATACCACTTCAGACATCTGGGGGTGTTTTCAGACCATTGTAGTATCCCTGTGCTTAGATGTGACAAAAAAAAATATGGGTTACCCTAAAATACGGGTCATCAGTCCAGTGACCCTTCTCATGAAAGGCACACAGGGAGGTTATTATTTGTTGCCATAGACATTATTTTTAATTTCTGTCATTACCTGATGGGTCTACCCAATACACTTAGTATTCATGAACACACTTAATAGGAGTACTTATAGGTAACACTAATGCTGACTCAAATATCACTTGGGAATACTGATACTAATATGAAGCAATGTTATGGGTACTATTTTGTGAAGAAGAAAGAGAAAGTGGGAAAATTCTTTACATTGTGAACTCTTTATTTCAAGATTAGCATCCTGGTTGTAAGATTTCACATAAGGCAAAAGAGTTTTAATAGTGGCCTCTCAGAAAGTTTTGGCCATGAATGATGGTGATGGTTGCAGAACGTTGTGGGTGTACTTAATGCCAGTGAGCTGTACACTTAAAACTGGTTGAAATGGTAAGTTTCATGTTATGTATTTTCACCACATGAAAAAGTGGTCTTTCATACCCAACACTTTTATTTGTCCAGAGTACTATATATATTCTTGTAGGCTTTAATGGTGCTTTCCATTTTTTTTTGTTTTCTGTTGGTATTCACTTCTTCCAACTGGATGCACATACACAAATGCCATGTTTATAAACAAAACAAAAGCTAGAAGATACCATTTATCAGAGATGTTCAAATAGGTCATTATCATGAGGTTCAAAGACCACGGGCATAATGTTACCTGGCAGACTTGTTCAAAATATAGATTCCTGGACCTCTCCTCTTAAGAGATTCTGCCTAATATTTCTGGAGTGGAGCTCAGATGTCTGCTTTTTAAAAATATCCTTCCTAGATAATTCTTATAGGTGATACTCAAGCCACACTTTGAAAGCACAGATCCAGTGTTACTGAACTATGATGCCAGGAAGCCAGACCTCTACAGAAACCACCTCCTGTTTGAGGTATGACAGCAGTGGCTGAGAGTATGAGGTTTGGAGAACAACAGAGCCCAGGTTCAAATCCCAGCTCCAAACTTCCTGTAGGACCACAGGTAAATTATGTAACCTCTGTAAACCTCAGGTTGTCATCTCCAAAATGAGAACAGAAAAGCACATCACACCCTGATATGATTATAGAAACAATTCAGTCAACCAAAGTGTGTTGCCTGGCAGTTAGTAATTGCCCAAATAATGTTAGCTTTGAGTATCATCTCATTTCATCAATTCCACGGTGCACGCTTTCACACTTAAATATTGACAGAATCTTATAATTGCTGTCAATAAGTTGTGTAAAAACCTTCTGTTGACACGTTTTATTTACAGCAGGAAGTGAAGTGCTCGTATCATAGTGTACTAGAGATTGGAAGAAAAACATATATCTATTATTATTATTACTATGTTTCATAAAGCTTTGCTGCTGAGTATTCAAACTTACTGCAAATGATTTTGGGTAGAGGAACAGTGCCTACAATCCCTAAAAATAGCTCTCATTTATACATCTGAAAAAGAATAGTCAAAGTACTTATTCCCTATAGGATTATATTAAGGCCTTGAAGAGGAAAGACATTTGTAGAAGAGACAGCATATGTACCAAAAAGCAGCCGTCAAGTTGGTGGTAAAAACATACCAGAAAAGAAATAGAACTATCACAAAGCAATGGCTACATAACATTTTAATCTGTCACTAAATACTTTTGAATACATGATTAGGAGAATAAGAATAAGGGTGAGAAAAGAAGACAGCTGACTCCCATGTACAAATATTAGAATCTTGACTACACTGAACATTGGTTTTTGGGGAGAATCACCTGCCCATCTGAAATTTGTTGATGTGTATCACCTGACAGGAGATTTACACATGCAGCATATAGTTCAATTTTCACCACAGTCCAAAGACTTTTCTATCTGTATTTCTGTCCCCAATCTCTTTATGGAGCTCTAGTCTTACATCTCCAGAATTTTAGGAAACATTGCCGTTTGCCTCTCCTGCATAGCCTTGATACAAATATGTCTGAAAGTCTTCTCAGAAGTCCAGTTTTCTTTCCTGATTTCCCCTAGTTGTGTCTATAATACTAGATTTTATTTCTTATCAGGCCTCAAACCACAGACTTATACTTAACAACTCTCCCTTGCCCACGTACATCTAGCAAGCTGCTATATTTTGTAAGTTTTTTCCTCAAAATTTATTTTACTTTCCCTGCTTTCCTTGCACTGATGTTTGCTGAAGGCCTACATTTTGCCAGGAATTCTGTAGAAACCAGATAACTAAAATCACTGTCATTAAGATAGTTATGTAAGAAAAGAATTAAACTAAAATTATTAAAGTGTTATAATCAATATTTGTGTAAGTTGCCTTAACTTACACAAGAGGGAACAACTGACTCCCCAATAATAAAAATAACTGTGCAGTAATTTTATTGCTACTTATAAATACTAATTTATATTTTTAATAACACTACTGTTATTTGTACCAGACAAAACAGTCCTAAGAGGTATTTATGTTAGCCCATTTTACAGATGAGCGAATAGAGAGAGAAGCTAAGTACCTTACACAGCATCACAAGGCTAATAGATTACAGAGATTCTAGCAGTAGGCTCAGCTGAAGAGTTGGATAAAAACAATGTTGAAGGAGGCAGTACTTAGTCTGGTTCTTGAACAATGTTTAACTCTGTGTCTCATGGCAATAGGAATAGGAACGAGGTGCTTGACACAAAAAGAGAATGTGCAAAAGCTGAGAGATATGAAAGATGATTTTATAAAAGGTGAATTAAGAGCATGGAATATATGAATGAATCACTGAGGTGGATGTTGAGGCATAACAGGTATCAAAGAAGGCTTTGAACTAAGAGAATGAGTGAAGTTTCCAGAAACCCCAAGAGGCTAGTGTGACTGTAGTAGAGTGGGTGAGGGGAAGAGTGAAAAGAGACAAGGTCAGAAAGCATGTGTCAACCAGTTCCCTTTTGGGTGCTTTGATCTTACCTTTGTATTGAGGTGACACATCTTCAGAGAGCTTTGATCAGAGATGTGGCAAGATATGGTTATAGAAAGGCAAGGGCAGAAGCAGAGATAGTTAGGAGGCTATTGATATAACCCAGACAAGAGATGGTTGGTTTGGCGAGGAGAGCAAGGTGCAGATAGGTCAGATTCTGGAAATATTTTGAAAGTGGAGTCAAGAGGATTTGCTGGTGGATTGGATGTAGGGTGTAGAACAATATGAGACAGCAAGGACTCCGGAGGGTTTGGTCTGAGCAACTGTAAGGATGTTTGGTGCCCCTTTAACTGGGAAGATTTCAGGAAGTGTGGTTTGATACCATGCCAATTTTGGAAATATAAGTGTGATACTTTTGTAGGGAGTGCACTGGAAGGTGGAAATCAAGGCAGAGAGATCAACGTGGAACCTCAGTCACCTGTGAAAATGGTGATGAATGTTGATGAATGTTCTAACAGTGGCCTTGGCAATAGAGCATGAGAGGAAGGGGCTTGTTGGTGACACTGCACCTTCTAGTTTTGGGAATGGAAGGGATGTACTAGAAGAGGAAAGTATAAATGGGAAACTCCAGGTCTCATGACTGGCCACTAGGGCCACTTCTCAGGTGTGAGTGGCTTTGGGAGGCCTGTATCTTTCCAAGTGTGCAGACACCAAGACTGTAAAATCTTTCCTATTTGAAACTGCTTACATTCAACATCGTTCGCATATTTTCTATCAAGACTAGCTTCAGAATGGGTCAATCTTTCCAGCTTCTCTCACTTCCTTGTCATCTCAGAAAATGAATAAACCAGACTTTCAAGTTGAAGGTGTTCAATATTTTTTCATTTCTGTAGTAAATTCCATATTATTATCCCTGAGCATTTGCAATAACTGATCTAGTCTCCTCGTCTTCAATCCCAACTCCCCCGTATCCTGTGATCCTTTCGCACACTTATGTTTTCCAAGTACATTTTCCATTCTCTCATTCCTGTACTCAGAAAACTCAAGTGGTTCCAACTGTCCCTGAGATGACAATCACCTTAATTTGCATACAAGACCTTACATTTGGACCTGAGTCCAACTTCCAACTTCATTGCTAAATGATCTCAAAAAAATTGCCTAGTTCACTAGAGACCCACAGACTTTCTGAGATGCTGCCTGATAGTATTTCTGCCCATTATCCCTGCCTGCTCTGAAATTCAATTTCCAGATTAATCTTCCTAAAAATCTACTCAAATCAAGCCATTTCCTTCTTCTGAAACAAATTTTTACACTCTGTTGCCTAGTGATGTAATTACAAACTCTTCCCTTGACAGCTCCATCCCACTAGCTCAGTAGTTCTGACTCATTTTGCTCATTCCACACAGTTCACAGACAATATACACTCCCATCAGTAATTTCTCACATTGTCTAGAATAATCTCGAAGGAATAGAGCAGATACACTTGGGCGTACATAGTAAAGTCTCCAAGTAGACTAATTGTAACATGTATGTAACCAACACCTGTATAGTATTTACTATGTTCCAAGAACTTTTTGAACATTTTAAGAGTACTGATATTTTAAGAGTATTAACTTGTTGAATCCACCTAACAATCCTATCAGATAGGCAGTATTATTGTTCCATTTTACAGATGAAGAAACTGAGGCACAGAGAAGGTAAGCAATTATCCCAAGGTCCCATGGTTAATGAATGGCAGAGCTAGAATTTAATCTCAGATAATCTGGGTCTGAAGTCCGTGCTCTTAATTGCTCTGGATTCCTGCCACCCACCACCTACCACCTCCTTCCCCACCACTGGAGGCTGAGAATTACTGAGCTCAATCATTTTTGAACAAGTGTCAAATAAGACCTAATTTTATTTTGAAGGTGGCCTGAGTCCACTAAGCCTCCAATGACTGTTCTTTCCCTAATCTCCTTGATTAGCTTTCTCAGATACCACTCATAATTTACTTACCATATATTATCTTTGTTGTCTTCGAACTGTGTGATATATATCACATCTCTCCACTAGATAGAAAAATTTTCAAAACCCAAATCATAATCAACACTTCAAATCGTTCTTTGATTCCCCAACCTTTTCAACGGTCCCCCTCTAAATTCAAAGTGACTCCTATATCCTCTCTGACTCTCACCTAATCCAGCTCCACATTAGGTTCCTCATGTGTGCCTGACATCGCTCTTAGTCTTCTCTACCCTCTTTATATTTATATTCAGACTGTGGAGGTGCCTCATCCTCTAACAGTGCCAGGATGAGCAAGCAATGTATTGATAGTTGCTATATTGCATGAGATTCATCTTATCCTTCTGCAGCTATCATAGAAGTCTTGTATCTGGTCTCCAAATTCGATGTAATTAAAGTTGGATTTTTGATCCCATGCACTCATCCTAAACTCATTGCCAGTTTAGTCTATCTAAGGAAGAGCCTCTGCCCTGCTCTTTGCCAGTTCCCTTTCCTCCCCACCATCGTCTGCTGAAATGAGGACACATTCCTCAATTGTACAAAAAAATGTCTTCTGCACACTGTTGATTTGTCCTTCCCACCTCTCCTCCTGTTACTACACTAGATGCGTTGCACCCTCTAAGCAAACCAGACCAAAAGCTGCTGTCGTAAAAGTTTTGTGTCTTTCCAAATAATTAAAACAAGAAAGAAAGATACAACAATCACAATAATACATTGAACTTTCAAAAAGAGAGAGCAGAATTGAGGTTACCAGAGGTGGGAAGGGATGAGGGGGAGGCAATGGAGGAATTGGTAAAGGGCCACAAAAAATGATTACATTGTATAATGTTGAATACACTAATTATCCT